TCCTCCTCCTCCTCCTCCTCCTCCTCCTCCTCCTCCTCCTCCTCCCCCTCCTCCTCCTCCCCCTCCCTCTCTTGTTGTCTCTCTCTCTCTCTCTCCCGCTCCTGCCAGGCTGCGTCTCCTAAGAGACTCAACAAAAAGAGGCCCCCAAGAAGCTTCCAGGAGGCCCCAAGAAGCCCCAAAGAGACCCAAAAAAATGCCCGCAGGACCCACAAACTGCCCCCAAGAGGCATCCAAAGGCTTCCACGCCACGCCTCCAGAAAATGCCAGCCGCCCAGCGGCACAGCATTGACAACGACACCCAGACAAACCACAGCGGCGAGACAAGCTGGGCCGGCGGAATGAGCGGAGCGATTACATAAAACTGCAACATCAAAGTCTGAGCCGAAGCCTCCGCAGCCCGCCCAGGGACCAGATCTCAGTGGACATGTTGGCAGTACGCACAGAAGGGGGGGTGGGGAGAGGAGGGAGGCTGCTTGGAAGGAGGCTGCTTCTGGGAAGGCGGCGGCCTTACATCCATAGACAAGGCCCGAGACTTCTAAGAAGCAGGGGCGCTTCTGAGAAGCCTTCCCCCCTCCCCCTGCCCCCCCTCTGCGCGTGGCCGAACATGGCCGTCCAGCCCGGCCCGGGGACCCTGCGTAGGCCTGATGTTGTCGGCGCTGCTCTCCCAGGGAGGCACTGGAGCGAGAGGAGAGGAGGAGAGGCAAGGAAGCGCACGAGGTCGGCCAAGAAGGAAGGGCAAGAGGGAAGGGCCAGGAGGAAGGGCAGGACGGAAGGGCAAGGCAGGGAAGAAGGAAGGGCAAGAGGGAAGGGCAAGGAGGAAGGGCAAGAAGGAAGGGCAAGAAGGAAGGGCAAGACGGAAGGGTAAGAAGGAAAGGAAGAGGGGAAGAAAGAAGGGCAAAAGAACTCTGGCCACGTGCGCGGATCGTCCGCCTGAGAGGTGGGTGGGTGCGAACCGTGCCCCGGGGTACGCCGCAGCGCGCCAGAGTGCCTGCAGCTTTTTCAAGAGGGGCGAGCCCCCTCACCTCTGTCGCAGGGGTCCCCAGACATCTTCCTCGCTCCCCCCCTCTCACTCTCCCCTTGTCTCTCTCCCTCCCGCCCTAGCTGCCCCCCCCCCTCCCCTCCTCTCCATGCCTTCCCCCTGCTTCTTCCTCCTCCCTCCCTCTCCGTCTCCCCCCTGCTTCGTCCTCCTGCACCTCCTCTGCAACGGCAGCGCCTCGCGTCTCGTAGCGCACCAGCGTCGGCCAGTCGCTGAGGCCTCTAGTGCACATACTGATCATGCCGTTCACGATGGCGCAGTCGGCCCCCTCCGCGTCGACGATCAGGATCTGGGATGGGCGCAGGGATCAGGGGAGAGAGTGGCCAGCAGGCCAGGGAGAGGGGTGAAGTAACCAGCCTCGAGCGCATCCCTGCCCCTACTGATAAGTCCAGAGGGCGATGACAATCCTAGGGATGCGCCCTCAGAAACTGAAGGAACCCTCAAGATCCGCATCGATATGAGGCGATGCCCACCATAGCAGGCCAGCCCAGATTCGAACCGACAAGTCGGCTCGGCGATCGAAACGAATCGGATCGGCGGAAATCGGCAGCCGAGTCGGGAGAAGTCGAAGAAGCGGAAGTCGACGGGCCAATAAACTTCCATTGAGAAATCGGAGTCCGAATCGGAATCCGCAGTCGGACCAGATCGGAGTGGGAAGCCGTCGAAGCCGAGTCGGAGGGTCGGAAGCCGTCGAAGCCGCATCAAGCTGGATCGGATGAGTCGGCGTGGGCCCTGTCGTAGGGATAGGGGAGAAGGGAGAGGCACGGGGAGAGGAGGCGGTAGGGAGGAGGAGAGGAGGAGGAGGAGGGGGGGAGGAGGGGAGGAGGAGGA